TACATTTAAAAAATGTGTAGTATGTATTAAAATATGTTCAAAGTATATTAGATAAACACTTGTAGTACAAAAAAATTCAAAAAAATCGGAAGACAAGAAAAAACAAAAAAAACTAAATAGAAAACCAAAGAAGAAAAACGAAAATAAAACCCCGCAGCAGCAGTGAAGGAAACAACAGTGCAGCGAACCCTGGGACTAGGCCGGCCTACACTGCTCCGCATGCGGGCATGGCCTCGCTATACCTTGTTTATAGCGAGTATAGCATCCATGCCATGCAGCTTGTTCTTTGATTTTTGAGGTTTTTATTTTCTTTTACTTATCTTTTATTTTTACCACTATTTTATATTTCTTTCTTGCTTTACTGATTTTTTGTTCTCTTCCTTTTTTTATTCGTTCTCTTCAGAATTTTTTTTGTTTTTTCTTGGTTTCTCCGGTTAACTTATTTTCTTTGTTTTGTTTTTTTGCTCTGGTTTTTTTGTTTTATTTTTCTTTTTATTTTTAACTTCGTTTTACTTGTTTCTTTCTTTGGTTTTCTTTGCTTTATTTCATGTTCACTTTTTTGAACAGATGTCTAAATTTTCTTACACATGTATATTTTTCGTATACGGTAAGAATATTTTTTAAATACACGTTAACGTTTTTTGAATATATGTTTTGATATCCACTTTTCATATATATATTGTTTTCGAACAAAATATACACTTTTTTATGCGCATTTAAAACATTTTCTTATACAAGATTAACAATTTTCATATACATGATTAACATTTTTTTTCAAATATATGTTTTATTTCTACTTTTTTCGTATATATTCTATATTTTTGTACCACCCAAAAAGGTTATATAAATTTTAACATTTTGTTTAAAATATAAGTTTTCATAACTATAGTTTTCATACACATTTTATTTTGGGTATACATCGAAAACAATTTTTTATGGAGGTTTAATATTTTTTTGTATGTTTAATTATCATTTTTCAATATATGTGTTGATATTTACCTTTTCCGTTGCATCATACATTTTTCTTAGACACCCGTATTTTTTTATAATTGTTTAACATTTTCTAGGAAGTACACGGACATTTTTGTATCTAGTATAGATAGATATTTTGAAAAAGTCATGTACATGTTGCTGAATCACGAAAAAAAAATATGTCACAGCCATTTGTTTTGAAGCTACAACATTTTTTCAAGTTATGCTAACAAATTTATTTATTTATTGCAAAAAATGCTACTCCCTTCATTCACTTTTGTAAGTCATTTCAGCCAACTCAAAATAGGTTATTTTGCACATTGTCTGAAATGTCTTCAAGGTCTTATAAAAGTGAACAGAGGAAGTAACAGAAATTTACATTGCTTTGACATTGTTCAAAATCTTTATTTAAGTTTTTTAGGATTAAACATGATATTTTTCTTTACAAAATTATAAATAAAATTAAAAACAAACGACAAATGACCACAGCGGCGAATCCAGCGAAGAACTAACCGGGCTTGGCCCAATACTAGGTCTCTACAAGCGATCACAACCAACAGCTCGCTACAAGCGAGCTATAGGCACACTCGGCCTCTGACTGCTATATTTGGGCTCCCTTAGAGCATCTACAGCCGGACTTCGCAAATCCGACCTCTTATACATCCGCGAACGCGTCCGGGCACGCCCGCAGACGCATCCATACGGGCCCTCATAGTTTGCTCCCGACATCCACATATCTCATATCCGGACTCTCAAACTCATGCAAATCCATGCATGACGATAATACAGGCCAATGTCGCACGTAAATAACAAATATTGGTACCGAGCATAGATAGTGTTTACATAAAATTTATTTTAAGTGCGCAACTCAAACATTAACTCCTTGGTTGCCATTGTGGGTCCACATGTGCTCCACAAGATCATTGAGTAGCTGCATGTGAACCTGATGATCTCCGATATTCTAATGCATGTGCAGAAAGATCATAAATTGAGCTGCATCTTGATCTTTCGGCATTTCAACTTGTTCTTTAGGTGCTTCAAAATCATTGTTTGAGCTAGGCGGAGATAGAGAGTTGTCGGATGTACCACGGTGTCGTCCAGGCCAGCGATGACGCCCCACACGGCGGAGGATGGGAAAGAGGGCTGCTTTGCCGAAATTGGCGGCGCAGAGACTAGGAACGGCTGTGGAGTGCGCGCGGCGGCTGAGCTGCGAGACGGACGACGCGGAGAAGAAAGAAGAGAGGAGAGAGCAAATGGATCCGACAGGTCGGGGGGGGGGGATTTGGTGCAATTTATGGTGGGATCGAGTCCGACGTGAAGGGCGTGACCGGATGCCCCATATCCGTCTCATATTTGGGCTAGATATGAGGGGTGCCGATCAGCTCGAGCGTTTGACCTTTGAGGCGTCCGTCTGGGTCAAAATTTCATGATCGAACTGCCCGCCTGGGCGTATGGGACGGGTTTAAGGCGCCCGGCTGTAGATGATCTTAGCTAGTTAGCTTTATCATTTTCAGGCTGTGATCACTGTTTTGGCCTTTGGTCTTGCATTCGGTAAGCTTCCTTCGTGTAGAGATTTGGTGTTGGAGTTTGTAGCACAATCTTCAAATAAAGAGAGAAAGGCCTAGGCGTGAGCTGAGTTATTCTATATCTGAAGTTCTAATTTTCAAATGACACGAACAAGTAGTGTTGCGGTGCTAGACTCCATAGATATGAAGAGCGTATGGATATGCTTGTGCGATTGCGTTAGAGATGAATTTGCTCAAAAATAAAAGGTTGCAGCATTTGCTGCATCGACAGTTATAAAAAGACAGTAAAATCCGAAAATTCACTGGCGTGCTCGTCCGCGTTTGCTCACGGTATCTTCGAGCGTTGTTTCGCGATGGGATCTGGAATGGTTGCCGTAGTCAAGGCGTATACGATTGATAGTTAATGCATACGGATGGCACGGAGTGGTGACGCTCGTCAGGTGAGGGTGGACGGACGTACAGGACAAAGGGACGGCGTCGAGGTACTGTACCAACGTGGGACAAGATCGCCATACTTAGAGCACTTAATGCAAAGTCCCCGGACCGCACCGGTGATCAAGCAAGCATTAGGAAAGGAAGGTGATATGACAAGATCGCCATACTTAGAGCACTGAATGCAAATTCTCGCTCCACCTTCATTTTTGATGAAATACAGACGAACACCATATTTGACAAAGCTGACATACCATGGCAAGTACGTAACGCACGGGAATGGTCATGATACATTCAGAAAAACAAACATACAGATAGCAGCTCACCTTGATAAATGGCAGTCTTTTATTATTGAAATAGTTTTACTGATTAATGGCTACGGAGCCCTCAACATTACAAGACACTGCAGAACCCTTACGCCTACGGAACCATCCACAACACAACAGACTATACAGGATTTCTAAATGGAAAGCTGATTCAAAGTTGCATTTTCAACAGCATGCAACACCACTTTGGGTTTGTTGCAGGTGTTCTTCTTGTGTCCGCCGACACCGCAGTTTGAGCATTTTGCCTCCTTCCTTTCTTTGCAAGGAAGATCACCCCTGTGTGGACATGTGTAGTACTCATGTGACCTGCCCCATGGCATATACTGCAGAAACGAGTACGTTTGCTTGTCCCACAACCATCAGGAGCTTTTCCATATGGCGCTTGCTTGCATTTTTTGCTCTTTGCGCCTCGGTCATCATACGGTGGCTTGTCCCAGCAGGTAGTTGGTCGGCCTGGTTTACGCTTTCGTTCTCGAGGCTTTAAGCTGATGAAATTCCCAACTGCACTACCTTCGGCATCACTCTCTCTGTGACTTTCTGCTGGATGTGCTGGAATCGGCTCTTTTTCTTTCCCCTTATCTGAATGCATTCTGTCTTCAAGCCCCATCCCGTCACGCACGCTGGCCATGGACGTCAGTGTATCCATTGCTCTCTTCAGTATATCCATTGCACATTCATATGTCGATGTGTTGGCATCACCAAGCCGGACAACTTCAAGGGCATGAGTGTATAGATTCGAGGGTCTGAATGTTATTGAGTTGAGACTAATCTTATATTTCTGAAGGTGTGCCAGATGTTCTGGCAACACATCCCTTGCATCCTTTGTCCAGCGTTTGAGAATGTGCTTGCTGGTATCTGATCCATTCCAAGGACATCAAGGACCTACACAACAACATTTCACAAGTGTTTTTATATTGTTAGCTGTGCTCAAGCGACAATAACCTTGTGTTTCTTGCTGCACACAGAACCAATGAGAATCAAGAAGAAAGAAAACAAAGATACTATACTTTCATGGATGTGGTTCACTGGTAAATTATACTACCGAGCGATGTATTGTGAGAAAGCAAGCTAGAAAACCAAATGAAGAATTTCAAAATATAAATTTGTACTCAGGCACACTTGTTAGCAAGGTTTGTGGATGCTTGCCACCCATCATGCGGACAAACTCAGTGAACATCCATTCAAATGTTTCCACTGTCTCATCCCTCACTAAAACTCCTCCAAATATGACTCTCTGGAAATGATTGTTGACTCCGACGAACAGACCGAATGGTGTATCATACATGTTTGTACGGTATGTTGTATCAAAAGTTATTGCATCTCCAAGGTAATGGTATTGTGCCCTGCTTGCGCCTGTCGACCATAGCAGATTTCGTATGCGGCTGTCCGCATCCCGTTGTACTCTGTATACAACCCAGAATCTTTGGATCCCAACTCAGCAAAAACTTTCTAACGTCATCGTCTGCCTGATCTCGGCTAATCTCTCCACAAAGCCCCCTCAAAGCTCTCTTGCGGAAAGGCACACTGCTCATGGAGCCAAAGAAACTGCCAATTATGTTGTACACTTTGCCAATGCTAATATTATTTTCACGCAACTGCTTGATAACATCTCGTGTGTAAATGTCGATATGTCTATGCGAGGGGCAGTATATTTTCTGTCCACACTTATCTGTCAGAGAGTGATTGTGGAGTGTCCTGTGCTCGTTGATGTACCACCCGTTGTCCTTTGAGTGTAGCAACCTTATCATTGATGGGCATCTACATCGGCAAGACCATGTGTTACTTCTTTTTGGTACACCCTGCAATTTTTTTTTGTCGCAACCAACAATACATGAGTTAACAGAGAATTCTATTTTTCTGTATATAAGAACATTGGCAGAGTATGTTCATGGCTGGAATTGGAAAGAATTACTAACTGAGCAGCCGCAAACTATTTCTTGCATACATTTTGTTCTCTCGACATTTAATCTGCTTTTTTCCATATCTAACTCCGAACCTAATTTCCCAAGAATATAAATTGTAGTAGTCGTATACTTATGCAAGGGAATCAAAGTTGTCTCTGACAGTAGGGATAACAACAGTTTCCCTCTTCTTTTCTGCATAGCATCTTAGTGTTTTTTCAAGTGCGCTTATTTTGCCAACGCAGGGGGGCAGTTCAAGAGGTACTCGGCCAACACGTACTCTGTGTGAACAAAAGATGAGTCACTATTGTGCAAATCAAAATCTTTTTGCACAAACAATTAGCCATGGCACATGAAATTTTGCAACAGCTAGTAAGAGTAATTCATTTTCCGTTCAGAGCCATGCAATTTTCTGTAGTTTTTTTTTGGGGGGAACGAAGAGTGTTTTCTTTTTAGTAATACATCAGTTGATACCTCTTTCTCCAGCCAGGGGCTTGAGGATCGTTTTTGCCTTCTGACTGCTTTGAGGTTGACGCCGATAAGCTGAGGCCTTCGCAGTTTCTGTTCAAATCTAGCTGCACCGTCATCACAGCGTCGCCTACATCAGCAATGCTCGACTGGGCGGCTGTGCAGGCGAGAGTTTTGGTGGCTACAATGCCCAGTATAGCCTCGCCGCCACCAAGATCCAGCAAGGGAAACCTTGAAAAGGAGCCGCAACAACATCAAGTTAGCCGTCAAAACGGAAGCGGACAGTAATAGAAGGCGGAAATCATGAAATACTGAAGGTATCCGTCGACGGGATCTGACAAGAACTCGAAGTCGCCGCCTCCGGCATCCGTCGTCGCCATTGCTCTCTTTTCCAATTGGTGTGGGTGGGGGGTGGACCAAGTGATAAGTGTCCCGGGCGGTGGGGTAGGTGGAGAAGCGACGCAGACAAGGATCCGACGCACCACATAGGCATTTGAGTACCTCGCAAACACCGGGCAAGCGATGTGTACCAGTACTCGTTCAATCGGAACAGGTAGCAACCGGCCGTGACGGGATCGTTATATCTGCCGGCGAGCGCACCGTATACTCCTGTTCCACCATACGTACATGTGTGTTGGCCCTCCGACCGCATTGAATGCCCGGTTCCACTCGCCAGTGTTCGATTGGGACACTTAGCGTGAGCAGGCGAGCCCGTGTGCACCATCGCCGCTCTCAAGTAAAATCCAGCTAGCTATTACGGCCTTCCACAGAGATTTGGCGTCCTGAGCCGTCCGATCATGCATGGTGATTAGAGGGAGACGTCAAGGCTCAAGCCACCACCGTGTATAGAGTAAACTGTCCGTGCCACAACTCTCGCACTAACGCTGACAACGTGCGTAAGGTTGTCAGCGCATCGCCGCAATGGAAATGGTTGTCAAAATGCAGCAGCCCGAGCACATTTTGCAGGCGGCTGGGAGGGTAGGCTGGCTGTGCCCGTGATGCCTACGGCAGTGCCTTCGCGCGGGCTCCAGCTCGCCTGTGCGCCAAACGAGGCTTTTGTAACTTTGTTCATACTGGTGGTGGTAGCATTGGTGGTGCTCTTGCCAGTGCCCATGTGGGGCTTGCTCGCTCTTTTTTCGCTTCTTCCGTCATCGATTACGCGCATGCCGCAGGTGGCGCCGTCCTTGTATCCCTCTGACGGGGAAGTTGTGGCTTTTGGTGGGATCCATGTGAAAGTGCCCTTCTGCTCCGAGGTGAAAATGCACCAGGGTGATGACCTTGGAGGCCTCCTGCGGCTGCTCCTCGTCGGAATCCGCCTTCATCTTCGTGTCGAGTTTGGTGAAAAATACATCGGCCGCCGACCATTCCTGCTGGATGAATTGGTGGTTGGCCTCATACACTAGTAGAAAAACATCTAATAGTCCCGGTTCGTAAGGCCCTTTAGTCCCGGTTCACGAACTAGGACTAATGGGTCGTTACTAATACCTCCACCCATTAGTCCCGGTTCAAACACGAACCGGGACCAATGTGCCTCCACGTGGCCCTGTGCGTCGAGCCCAGTCAGGGGGCCTTTGATCCCGGTTGATGGCTCCAACCGGGACCAAAAGGCATCCACGCGTCAGCATTCCAATGGCTGGGGTTTTTTTTAAAGGAGGGGGTTGGGGGTTTTGGGGTGTTAATTTAGTTGTTTCATATATTGTGTTAGCTAGCTAATTTAGGTGTTTCATATATGTCCGTGATTGGTCGAGGCTACGTACTATATATACATAAGTGATCGAGAGAACCATTTAGTACAGAAGTTCGTCATGCATACCGAGAGAAGTGATCGATCGACATCTCCTTCTCCGAGAGATTGGTCGAACAACAAGTTTTCGTATCATGTATCCGACGCTACTGGCTACATACATGTACAATATGTATAAGATCTCTTAATTACAAACCCCTAGCATTTGAAATCAATTTCCACATGGTATTCTCCGGCTTTACTGATGACGTGGTCAAGAAAGAATCCCGCCAATTCCTCTTGTATTGCTTTCGTGCGATCTAGTTCTAGGAGTTCATTCCGCATCTGCCACGTCTAATTTGAAGAAGGGGGTTAATTAATACATATATATGAATGAAACTCAATAGAAATGATGGTGTAATAAAATAAAATTGTGAATATTATTGCTTACGCACTTCATATTGTCTTTTAGAGTAGCCCCGCTTGTTTTTCAAAGTCGCGATGTGGATGAACTCGCACATGTAGTATCCACAGAAATCATTCCCTTCCTCCTGCCACAAGCACTTTACGTGAAATAGAGGTCAATCAAACTGATAATGAAGCATTATAAATGGCATTGATGAAAGTATAGCTATAGAATCAACGGGAGATGCGCGCAACTAGCTAGCCAGTAGTACTTACTTTCGGGTATGTATATCGCAGCTCCTTCGGCAGTCCCGGAGCTTCTGCGGTCAACTGTTTCCAAACCCTGCAAGACAAAGAAAATAATTATTATTACTTGAGATATCAGGAAATGAACAAAAAGTTACCGATATGGTGCGATAATGATCGATTGAACTTACTTGCTGAGCATTTCAGTCATGTCCGCATAAGTTTTGGGATCTTTCCGTCTCGAGTCTAAGATGGTTACTAGTCCACGCTCAAGCTTAATCTCCAGAAGAATATAATGATACCTGCGCACGCATGCATAACTCATCAATTACATTACTATAACCTCGCTCGAGTAATAAGGGAAACCGAATATGCACACGACAGTAACACTCACTTGCCGTTGTAAGGAAAGAGTATGGTATCTTTGTTTTGATTTTTGATCAACGATTGTAGCAAGTTGTCCTCGACCTCTTTGACGTCCTTTTCAACTAGAAATTCATGTATGATATTTGTGTTAATGAACCCAATATCATAAATTTCTTGTTTTTTGCACTCGACGATCTTCAATCTGCATAATATATTGAGGATAATTAATTATAAATACATGCAATGAAAGAGCTGAGCTATATATAGAGACTTAATGACAGAAATAGTACTTACAGGCAGTAGCAAAAGACCATTAATTTATCGAGGGCCTTTTGATTGAAGAACGCGAAGAACTCATCAAATGGAACACACAACAGATCATTTGAAACGAGGTCGTGCTCCTCTTTAATGTTCATATACAAACTATTCGTCCCCTCAGACTTTCTGCAGGTTTTCATGTACCAACTATGGAATCTTCGCATCACTGTTGTCAGAGATTTTACATCTTTGACGAGAGGCTTCCCGTACTCGTATCTGTGTTTGTCCACCTCCATGAAATCAGGAAGTGCATTGTCAGGCAGGTAATCTTCAAGATTGCCATAACCGGCCACCGTCCCCGGAGCATTAGACACATTGAGCGGGGGGCACGATTGTTGTGCTTGTTTGCCGAGCTGGGCAATTTTTTCCCCTTTGCTCGTTCTTTTAACCTTTTATCACTGACAGTAGTTCCCAACCGCTGGGCTTGGAGATATGTCTGTTCAGTAATGCGCTCATAGTTGGTTCTCGGCGGAGACTTTCATGGTTTTCTCAGGGCATCGATAGTGCGCTTTGCTTTCATCGGATCTACCTTCTCCTCCGGAGGTGGATGTCTCTTTGCTTTCACCCCTTCAAAGAACTCCTTCACGTGGGTCCGCACAATCGTATCGTTTTCCTCCTCGGTCCTCTCATACGATAACTTCTCTAGAGGCTTGAGAGGTGAACCGTATTTGTATTGCCTCCCGCCTCTGGTTGTGCTGCTAGACGCCGGAGCATACGGAGCAGCTGCGGCGTCCGTCTTCTTTCGTGCTTGCTTACAAGGCGGAGGAGAAGGAGTACGACGCGCCGGAGCAGCCGGGGCGGCGGCGGGTCTCTTCCGCCCTTGCTGACGAGGCGGAGAAGGAGGAGGCTGCTGGCTGCTCGGGAGCGCCGGCGCAGGCGAGAAGGAGGCGGAGTGCCGCCACGCGCCGGAGAAGGAGGCGGAGTGCTGCCACGCGTGCCCTGATCGTCACTCGCCGGAGGAGGAGGCGGTTGAGGAGGCGGAGTGCCCTGACTCGCCGGAGGAGGAGGAGGAGGCGGAGGCGTCCAGTTCGAAAGGTTGATGAGCTCCTTCCGCCATAGGCATGGAGTCTTCAGAGCAGAACCTAGCCTAGTCTCCCCTTCACCGGTAGGGTGGTCAAGCGGGAGGTCCTCAAATCCCTCCGTTATTTCATCCACCATCACCTTAGCATGTCCTTCTGGAATCGGCTGGCAGTGATAAGTTGTGCCGGGTCCACTAGGATAAACAGAGCCAACAGCCGCCTTGACCTTCAAATTCATCCATCGCGCCAATATGTGGCAATTTTGAGACTCCGTGATATCATCCACGGGATAGCTGGCAGGAGCCGTCAAGACATGCTCCGGCTGAAGCAGCTCGGTGGAAGCCACGCTGCTTCTCCGCTGAGATGGTGCGGTAGCTTCGGGGGAAGCTTCGGCAGGTCGTTTGCTGCGATCTGCTGCTTCTCGTTCCTCTAGCCCCATTACCCTTTCGTGCAGCGCCTGCAGTTGGCCCTGCTCCAGTTTCTTCCTCCTCTCGTGGGTTTTGTAACCCCATGCGTCCGGAAAACCAACCTTCCACGGAATGGAGCCCGGCGTGCCTCGTGTCCGTCCAGGGTGCTCAGGATTCCCAAGGGCTATTGTGAGCTCGTTCTTCTCCCTGTTTGGAATGAACGTCCCTCGCTGCGCTGCATCGATATAGTGTCGAAGGTTCTTGACTGGTATTTCCAGTTGCTCGTCCATCCAATGGCACTTCCCTGTTACAGGGTCCAAGGTTCCACCGGCCCCGAAGAACCAAGTCCGGCAACGGTCTGGCCAGTACATTGTCTCTGGTTCGATCCCTTTTTCAAGCAGATCATGCTCAGCCTTGGACCACTTAGGCCGGGCTTTGAGGTAGCCACCTGATCCCGTGCGATGGTGAAGCTTCTTCTTCGCAGCATTTTTCTTGTTTGTCGCCGACATCTTCTTACTCTTTTCCGATGTCTTGTGGGCCACAAATGCGGGCCAGTGATCTTTGATCTTCTCATATTTGCCGATGAATTCTGGTGTCTTTTTTTTCGACAAACTGGTTCAACTCTTTCCTCCACCTCCTCATTAGGGTTGCCATCTTCTTAAGAGCACAAGACTTGATTAATTGATCTTTAACTGGCTTCTCCGGATCCTCCTCTGGCGGTAGGGTGAAATTTCCCTTCAGCTGAGTCCAAAGATCTTCTTTCTGCATATCATTGACATAAGACACCTCAGGGTCTTCCTCCTTAGGCTTATACCATTGCTGGATGCTGATCGGGATCTTGTCCCTAACAAGAACCCCGCACTAAGCAGAAAATGCCTTCCTTGTCCAGATGGGTT